CCCCCACCGAGGAAGAGGTAGGCCCCGGAGCCTACTGTCTCTTCCCAGGGCCCAGGCGTCCTGGGCGCCCCAGCTCCCCGCCGGGCTGACCAGCCCTCCTGTCTCCTGTCTCCCCTCTCAGGGGGACAGCCCCGCTGAGATGGGGGCGCTGCTGCTGGAGGAGCCCAGAGGAGCCCCCGAGAGAGGTGAGTGCGGCGGAAATGTCCCAGCCGGACCTTTCCTCCCCAGGTCCCGGGGCCCTGGGCCCTGGGCCCTGGACTCTGAACTTTCCCTCTTCCCCTCAGTTCCTGGCTCTTTGGGGGACACCCCTCACGGTGAAGAGACCCTGCCCAAGGCCAAGCCTGACTCCCTGGAGCCTACTGGCCCCTCCTCTCCGGCCTCAGTCACTGTCACCGTGGGCGATGAGGGCGCTGACACCCCCGTAGGGGCCGCACCGATCCTTGGGGATGATGCGGAGAATCTGGAGGGAGAGGGGAGCCGCGTCCTGCTGGGTGAGAGGCCGGAGCCCGGGGTGGGCGGGGTTTGCGCCTGCCTGCCTTCTCACCCGGCCTTCCGCCTGGCCGCCTCTCTTCTAGGCCATGCCACCAAGTCCTTCCCGTCTTCCCCCAGCAAGGGGGGTGCTTGTGCTAGCCGGGCCAAGATGTCGATGACAGGGGCCGGGAAGTCGCCCCCGTCGGTCCAGAGCTTGGCCATGCGGCTGCTTAATTTGCCCGGGGCCCAGGGACCCGCAGCTGTTGGGCCTGAACCCACTCCAGCCACTACAGTCAGTCCCGAGGGGCAGCCCAAGGTGCACCGAGCCAGGAAGACCATGGCCAAGCCAGGAAATGGGCAGGTGAGGATGAGGGGCGGCGGGGGCCCGGAGGGCAGTTTTTACTGCCTAGTTTTAGGCCTCTGCCAGTTCGCTACTGTGAGTCAGATCTTGGGTTGGCTGTAATCTGTGAACAGACAGATCCTGTCTCCCAGGAGTTTACATTCTTGGGGAGGGGCACTGAGCTCAGAAAAGACAAACAGATGCTGAAGAGTTAATTGTGTGGTTGAGGTCTTAATTACTGGCGTGGTAATGACTGACTAAAGGAGCTTCTGCTTTTCCTTTCTGCCTCCCAGGGAACCTAAGGGAGCTTTCACCTTCTTTGAATCTTTTTGTGGCAAGGAGGTCCACAGAAATGCTAGAGGAGGGAATTGACAAATCCCCAGAATCCCAGAAGTGTCAGGCACACAGTTTTGAGGACTCCTTGTATTGCTTTTTTGGAGATGTGGTTTGAAATAGCCTGTGTGAGTTTGTTGGTTTGTTTTTTGTTTGTTTGTTTGTTTACAGTGTAGACGGGGATTGAACTGAAGGCCTCTCACAGGCTAGGCAAGCAGTCTATCACTGTGCTAAAGTCTCCAGCCTTTTAAATTTTATTTTTAAGTCAGGGTCCTGCAGAGTTGCACGGGTGAGTCTCAAAGTTAGATCCTCCCTGCCTCAGCCTCCTGAGTAGAATTATAGGTTACACCACCATACCCTTTTCTTTTTTCTCTAGTTTTTATTGTGTTAGAATGTATGTAAAATTGACAATTAAACCGTTTTTAAGTGTAGAGATCCGTGGTATTAGTGGTAAAAAGTTCATAATGGAGCCTGGGATTTAGCTCAGTGGTTCTGTCACCTGCCTCGCAAGCGCAGTTCGATCCCCGGTACCAAAAAAACTTCATAATGTTGTATAATTATCAGTCTCCATAACTTTTTTCATCTTGCAAAACTTGAACTCTGTGTCCGTTGAACAGTAAGTCCCAGATCTCCTTTCCCCAGCTCTTGGTGGCCACCACTGTTCTGTTTCTAGAAATGTGATTCCTATAACTATCCCATGCTTAACTGCACGGTACAGTGTTTGTCCTTTTGTGGCTGGCTTATTTTGTTTAGTTCAGTGTTTTCAAGGTTTCTCCCTGTTGTTGTGTATGTTAAAATTTCCTTTCTTTTTAGAGCTGAATAATATTCCATTTATGTGCAGTCATCTTTCGGGATCCAAAGGGGGATTGATTATAGGACCCTTCTAGAAACAAAAATCTAAAGTCCCTTACATAAAATGGTCTAGTATTTGCAAAAAAATCTACACAGAAACCAGATGTAGTGGTGCACTCCTGTAGTCCTAGCACTCTGGGAGGCTGAGACAGGAAGATCACAAGTTCAGGCCTACCCTGGGCAACTTAGTGAGACCCTGTCTCAAACAATGAACAAGGCAGGGTGGTAGCTCATCAAGAGGCTCTGGGTCAAACCCCAGGACCACAAAAGAGAAAGAAATACACATATCTTCCTGTGTATTTCTTGTTAGCTGTTATACTAAACAACATAAGCGCTGTGTAAATAGCTTTTGTATTGTAATAAGTAGGGAATAATGAAAGAGAAAACCCTACTCATATTAGGTACGGACAATTTTTAAAAATATTTTTGCTCCTATATGTTGAATCTGTGGCGATGAGGCACCGTGTTTTGCTTGTCATTGGACTCGGTTATTTGAACTGTCGCAGTTGTTTTAATGCTGCTGTAAAGGTGGATGTATACGGGGCCTTTGACCTTGCAGAACGGGGGGAAGGTTCTGCTTGGTGTGGCCGAAGAGCTAAGTTTGGTGTGGTGATGCACACCTGTAATCCCAGCTCTGGTGAGGCTGAGGCAGGAGGATCACTGTGAGTTTGAGGCTATCCTGGGCTCCATAGTGAGTCCAAGGGCAGCCTGAATACAGTGAGACCCTGTCTCAAAAAACCAAACCAGGACCAGGGATTTAGCTCAGTGGTTCTGCCGCCTGCCTCGAAAGCACAAGGTCCCAAGTTTGATCCCTGGTACCAAAAAACAAAACCAAAGGCCGGGGATTTAGCTCAGCAGCTCCACTGCCTGACTCACAAGCACAAGATCCTGAATTTGATCCCTGGTACCAAAAACAAAAACAACAAAACCCCAAAGAAAAAAGAAAGCTAAGTGAGCTTTAGGTGTGGGACATATGGACCCACCTGCTCTTGGGGGATAGCAATACAATAAAACCTTGGTTTGGGAGCATTTGTTCCAGAAACATGCTTGTAATTCAAAGTGCTTTCACATCAAAGTGAATTTCTCTGTAAGAAATAATGGGAACTTCAGGTGATTTGTTCATTTCCACAAACCAAAAATATTCATATAAGTATTATAATACTGTGACTCAGTAAAAAATAATAAATTTAAAATTTAAAGAAATTAACCTGCACTTGCTTGGCAAACCTTTGTGGCTGGTGTGAGGGAGTGGTGAGAAGAGTTACTGTGCAGGAAGACGGTTCCGTCACTGACAGAATCACTGCTGTTGGCTCACTGGACTCTTTGTTTTTTGTTTTGTTTTTTTTTTTGGTACTGGGGATAGAACTCAGGTCCTTGTGCTGGCAAGGCAGGCAGTGGAACCACTGAGCTAAATCCCCGGCCCCTTCCTGCAATCTTAATAAGGAACCTACCCAGTGACCCTTGCTTTTGCCTCCTATTGAGGATTTCACAGAAACCCAACATTTCATTGTCCTTCAGCAGATTCGTCTCTCGCACTGCTGCAGCCTTTTTTGGGTGGTGCTTAGCCACAGAATTGTGCAGTTTCCCACACCGTACACATCTCCCCAGTCTCATGTGAAGGGTTCTTCTGCCTTTCTCTCCCCTCCTCCCCCCCTCTTGCCGTTGGGAGAGGATCAGATCCCACGGTGAGAGAGGGAAAAGAACCATGGGCTCAATTGTGATCCTGCAACGTCTGGAGTCACCTACTACTCGTATTGCATGACATCTCCTGTTGATCGAGTGAAAATGTGTTAGAAGCGTTTGCTGGTCGTGTGGAACATTCGAAGAACCCCAAGCTTTCACTGTAGCCGTTACTGCCACTGTCTGATGCTGGAGCTTTGGTGGAGTGCGGGGTAGCTCACCGCGCCACTCACCTTGGGCTCCAGCCTAATCCAGGCAGACGGTAGCTGCGCCCCGGCCTCCTGTGACCCTCTCTGTGTCGCCCTCCTCTAGCCCCCCGTCCTTGAGAAGCGGCCCCCGGAAGTGCAGCATTTCCGCATGAGTGACGACGTGCACTCCCTGGGGAAGGTGGCTTCAGGTCAGTCCCATGCCGCGCGCTCGGCCTGTGGCCCGTCCCACACGAGGACACTGGTCTCACTCCTGCCCTCCTTTCTAGATGTGGCCAAGAGGAGGAAGCTGAACCCTGGAGGTGGCCTGGTGAGCAGAGGCGGGGACAGGACTGCTGTCTGGGGCTGCATCTGTCCTCAGCAGAGGTGGGGGTTGGTAGGGGGACTGGCAGCCTCAAGTGTGCCGATCTCTTTCTAGTCGGAGGAGTTGGGTTCTACCCGGGGTTCAGGAGGAGTGACCCTGGACAAGGGGGACCCCAGGTCCCTGGAGGAGTGGGAGACGGTGGTGGGGGATGACTTCAGTCTCTACTATGACTCCTACTCTGTGGACGAGCGAGTGGACTCTGACAGCAAGGTGAGTGGAGCGGCCGGCCGGCCTCCCTCCCGGGGCCTCGGCCTCGCTCCCCAGGCTTTCCTGTCCCCCTTTTCCTGCCTTTCGTTTTTTCCTCCTTTTCTTTTCCTGGTACTGGGGATTGAACCCAGGGCCTCCTGCATGCTAGGCAAGGGCTCCACCACTGAGCTACATTGCCAGCCCTTCCCCGCTTTCCCTGTTACTCTGCATCCTGCCGTGTGCCGCTGTGTCCAGTGAGCGCTCCGTTACGCCATTCCTTGCCCTTGTCCGCCAAGGTGGCCGCGGTCCTGCGTCCCTTCTGTGGCTCGTTTGGTGTTTGCTGGCTTCCGCCTTTGCTGTGTTTGCTTTTGCCTCCTGTGTCTGCCAGCACAGTGTAAGGTGAAGTCTTTCTGTTGTGCTTGGAAACTGCCAAGTAAGACACAAGAGAGGACAGTGGTGGTTGTCAGCCGCGGCCGCTCACCTGTGCCTCTGCAGCATAAACACTGGCCGGGTTATTTCATGGAAGCCCCAGGCATCATATTTCTCCGTGTAGAAATATGTCCATCTGCACCTCTAAACATCAGACCTCTTTTTGTCTTGCAACATCACTGCATCACTATTTCACACCCCAAAACGCTTAGCAGTGATTCCTTCCCACCGCTGAGTGTCCTGGCCGTCTTCCCATGGCCTCGGTTTCATAAATGGGCTTTTGGTGCATCCGAAAGGGACCTGCACATGGGTTTCATTCACATTTGGGTTAGATATCTTTTGATACATAGGCTTCCTCATCTTTAAAAACAAAAACCTTCCCCTCACCTTGCCTCTGTTGAAGAGACCAGGTCAGCTGAGTGACAGTGTCTCATTTGCAAGGGCCTGGGGATTTCTCCTCCCTCTCCTCTGGCACTGCTTGCAACCCCAGGGAATGGTGGTTCCAGAAGCAGGACAGTGTCAGCGGTGGCGTTCACAGGTGTCGCTTCGTGTCGGGAGGCACCTGACATCGGGCCGTTTCTCACTGGGGACATCCACACTGACTGACACCAAGCTGGCCTCTGCATTGCGGGGCTTTTCGTCTGGTGTTTCTCGCAGCCATTTGTGGTCTTGTCCATTTGTGAGCTTCCTAGAAACAGCATCACACCCAGAGCGTCTCTCCTGGCCGTGCAGCATTCTGTGCCCTTTCCTCCTCTCCCGCCCCCAAGTACCTTCCCGGGGAGCCGTCCCTGAGCAGGTGGGGGTGGCGGCGGCTGCTCCTCTCTTCTCGCCTGTCTGTCCTGTTGGATTTGTCCTGCGCTGCCTCTGCTGAGTTCTCCCCAGCCCCATTTTCTTTCCCAGTCTGAAGTTGAAGCCCTGGCTGAACAACTGAGCGAAGAGGAGGAGGAGGAGGAGGAGGAAGAGGAAGAAGAGGAGGAAGAGGAGGAGGAAGAGGAAGAAGAGGAGGAGGAAGACGAGGAGTCAGGCAACCAGTCAGACAGGGTGAGCAGGGCGGCCGGGTTCTGGGGGCGTAGGGGGCTGCGCCAGGGCCCCTGACTCTTCCTCTCCGCAGAGTGGCTCCAGTGGCCGGCGCAAGGCCAAGAAGAAATGGCGAAAAGACAGCCCATGGGTGAAACCATCTCGGAAACGGCGGAAGCGAGAGCCTCCACGGGCCAAGGAGCCACGAGGTGAGGGGCTCCTCAGCATGGGTCCCCTCCTCCGTCCCTCAGAGGCACGCGCGTGTACACGTGCTCCTGCATGTACACCGCATGTACCCGTGCGCCGGGGCCCGCGAGCTCGCGCTTTCACTCTCTCTGTCTCTGTGTCAGGAGTGAACGGTGTGGGCCCCTCAGGCCCCAGTGAGTACATGGAGGTCCCTCTGGGGTCCCTGGAGCTGCCCAGCGAGGGGACCCTCTCCCCCAACCATGCTGGTAAATGCCCATTCCCGGACAGGGAGCCACGAGGGGGCGCCCCCAGGGCTGGAGGAGGCGGGAGGCGGGCCAGGCTTTGGGGTTCTGAGTGAGGAGGGAGCTGAGGACTGGCAGGCATGGGCCAGGGCCTCCTCAGCACCCTCTCTCTGTCCCAGGGGTATCCAATGACACGTCCTCCCTGGAGACGGAGCGGGGCTTCGAAGAGCTGCCCCTCTGCAGCTGCCGCATGGAGGCCCCCAAGATCGACCGCATCAGTGAGAGGGCCGGGCACAAATGCATGGCCACAGAGAGCGTGGACGGCGAGGTGGGCCTGGGGTTGGCGGGAGCGGCTCGAGGCCCAGCCCCAACCCGTAGCCTCACCCTCATCCCACCTGTCCTCGCTGCCCCAGCTGTCCGGCTGCAACACCGCCATCCTCAAGCGGGAGACCATGCGGCCGTCCAGCCGGGTGGCGCTCATGGTGCTCTGTGAGACCCACCGGGCCCGCATGGTCAAGCACCACTGCTGCCCAGGCTGCGGCTACTTCTGCACGGCGGTGAGTGAGCAGCCGGGTGTGCTGGGGTCTCCCATGAGAGGTGCCCCAGCCTGACCGCGACCTTCCCTGCCCCAGGGCACCTTCCTGGAGTGCCACCCCGACTTCCGTGTCGCCCACCGCTTCCACAAGGCCTGTGTGTCCCAGCTCAACGGCATGGTCTTCTGTCCCCACTGTGGGGAGGACGCTTCCGAGGCCCAGGAGGTGACCATTCCCCGGGGTGACGGGGGGACCCCTCCGGCTGGCACTGCAGCCCCCGCGCCCCCACCCCTGGCCCAGGACGCCCCAGGGAGAGCAGACACTTCCCAGCCCAGGTACCGACCGCCCTCCCTGCTCTGCCCTTGTCCCCTCACCCCGGCCCCAGACATCAGAACTTCCTCCCGCAGCGCCCGGATGCGAGGGCATCATTTGCCTTTAAAGAAAATTTTACACCTTAAAAAGTTAGGCACAGGAAGACAAATGTCCAAAGTGAATGCTAACTTCACAAACAGATGGGCCAGGGTTGTGGCTTAGTGGTTGAGCCCTTGTCTAACACAAGTGAGGTCCT